CCTGCCAGCCCCTACATCATCCATCAATAGCAATCATTGTGAGAATATAAAGAGCCTCAGATATGTACCTGTCATCTGAACTCTTTGCAAGTTCCGCAGGTGCTTGACTGTCATTTCCAGGATATCAGCCTTCTCCAGCTTGGAGTGTCTGGAGCTCTGCAAAGAAGGAAAGAGATGATCAGTAAAGTGTGAGACTTGTGGGCAGCAGCAGCAGAGGGATGAAGGGTCAGGAAGCAGTGACCAGAGACTTTAAGGCAACTTACATCTTTCTTTAAGGCGTCCAAGATAAGAGTCTTGAGCTGTCCCAGGCTCTCATTGATGCGAGCTCTCCTGCGCTTCTCCATGATGGGTTTGGAGGACTGTAAAAACAGAGGCAAGACATGAGTACAACTCTACAGTGCACATTGCCAACATATCCCAAGATTCTGATCTGCAGCACCCGCGCAGGGGGCACACAAGGGATATTTACCTTTCTGTGCTCGCTGGCACTCTTAGGTTTATCCGGGGTCTGAGCAGAGTTAGCCTGTGCCCCTGCAATAGGGGAGGCAGTGGGCTTCTCCATGCTGTCGGCCGGCATGATCCAAGTAAAGGGGGGGTACAGAGATAGTAGAGTCACAGGATGGATGGGGTTTAGTTGTATCCGTTTATCAGTCCAGTAGCAGCAGAGCTGCTGTGTAAAGTCACTGGAGGTAACCTGGCTGCTCCCAAAGCCTGAGTGCTTGTATGACTAACCCAGTCTGCAGGATCCGCCTGTATTTATATTCCTCTCTGATGCTTCCCATTCGTGTGAAACCTTCTCTACATTCTTTCCCACACTTGCCTCGCCCACAGCTCTTTCTGATTGGCCAGCACTCACCCTCCTCCCGGCCCCCCTTCTCCCAGGACTTTCCACCACCCCCCTCCCTCCTTTACACGGGCGCCCAGTGCACTCCTCAGTGCTAGGCTTGGCTAGAGTTGATGTTTTTGCATTGGGGAGAAATTCAAGCTGAGAACTTACTGGATCCAGGCATTGAAGTGTTATTTACTGTAAACAGGC